TCTATTAGAGTTTCATTAACGTCTAGTAATTTCATTAAGCGCGCGTCTAGTAGAGTTTCATTAAGCGCGCGTCTAGTAGAGTTTCATTAAGCGCGCGTCTAGTAGAGTTTCATTAAGCGCGCGTCTAGTAGAGTTTCATTAAGCGCGCGTCTAGTAGAGTTTCACTTGGCGCGCACGAGCGTAGCATAAATAACATTTTACCTAAATCATCAGGTATTAATATATAGTATTATTTTCGGATAATCTAACAACAAATTCGCTAAGATTTTATAATTTTAAGACTCGGTTCAGTGATTATAGCTAACAGCTTGGACAGAAAAAGTGGATAGGGTAGCTGGTGCTTATTTCAAAGATGACTGGATTATAATTACTTCTTTTATCCAAACGAAGAAGTCAAAGGCCTGAAATATGAGAGTTGTAACAATTTGTTTGTAATAATTTCATGTAGGAATAAAGTTCGACACTTGATTTGAACCTAGATCGCCAGTGAGAGACCTTTTCCCATTAAATATAGACCACGTTTTAAGGAAACGCATGTATTAGAAAAAGTTGACGTCTAACGATCGCTATTCTAGTCTATAATTATTCAGATGTTTCTCATCTCTATTACTGCCAATAGTGCTATTCTCAACTATTTCAATAACCTATTCGGATCACTATACGGATTACTAATTTAGGGAGTATTATCTGCAAGTACTATTTGCGAGTGCATTCGAAGGCGTCTGACATAGCAAAGTTCAACGGCGTTATTGTAGTGGTAAGTTCAATGAATTATAACCATTACGAAATGTCAAACGAGTATTCGTTGACATTCATGTCAAAAGTATTCGTTGACATCACAAAAATACCTGTTGTTTCATCAAATATTTCTGTTCAGATACTAAGTTCAGTGTTGTTTAATGCTGAATGTAGTATTTGGCTGAATATTTTGATATTTCTTAAACATAAAAATTAAAATGAAATAGCAGAGAATTGCAGAAACTATTATACAATGTAATCTGGTAAATCAGACATTTTATCTCACAAATTAATTTAATCGTAGCAAGGCATTTTTATCCAAACAATAAATTCAGCCGAAGATATGGAAACTAATTAAAAAGAAAATGCATGCAATTGGGGCGAAGCTTCATTCCTAAGAATGGAGTCGTTAAATCGAGGCGTTCTTAAATTAAAAGATGAATGCAGCTGAAGAGAAGCATCATTATCCTAAGAATGGTGTTATCGAAGCGAGGTTATTTTTTAGTCTAAAGACTGACTACAGTCGAAGCGATAAATCCTTATTTCAAAAAAATGATGCAATCAAGACTAAACATACTTAATTCAAAGAATGATGTAATCGAAACAGTGTGTTCTATGCAATAAGAAATAAAACAGTTACAACTGCTTCCTAGGGAATTACCGCTGTACAAGTCGACTGACACACTTCCGGATAAAACGGAGGCTCTTAACCCATTTACGTTTTGGCCTTCCTCATAAGCTTCAGCAATGTTAGAACGGCCTCCGTTCTCAGAAATATCAACACTCCAGATTTAAGTAGTGATACTTCGTTTTGATGTCAGACGTCCTTCTATATTGAGGCAAAAAGAAGAATGTGTTAATTCATAGGAATTCAAGGATTGCAACAGTCTTGCCCTTTGAATTCAATTCTCAATAAAGCTTAAATTTGTCATTGTTATGGATTAAATAAGACATCTCCGGTAACAGAAATGAACTAGTCAAGACACTTTGAAGAAAGAACTTAAAGTAAGTCCATTGGAGTCAGGCAGTTTGCTGCCAGGCTCGAGGCTGGTGTGTCGAACTCTCTGCCTGCAGATAGGAAACCAGTCGAGGCTATGCCTACGGGCAGAGACTCGTTTGGGGGTGGGGAGGTAGACAAACCCGACCCCGTGTATGCGGGGTCTACGTGCAATTTTTGCTCGAGTCTAAAGGAATCGGATTCGCCCCACATAAAAATCGGCCTTGTGTCACATTCTGCCTTGTGGGGAGGATAGTATATATCCTTCTGTTGGAGCGAGGCTCACGACTGACTGGTCGAACTCTCTACCTGCAGAAAAGAACCCAGAGTCTCATGGGGGGGAGGGTAGACAAACTCGACTTCGTGTTTGCGGGGTCTACGGGAATTTTTGCCTGAGTTTAAGGGATCGGAATCGCCCCACATAAAATCGACCTTATGCCACATTCTGCCCTGTGGGGAGGTTAGTATATATCATTCCGTTGGAGCAAGGCTCACGACTGACTTGAACTCTCTACCTGCAGAAAAGAACCCATAGTCTCGTTTGGGGAGGTAGACAAACCCGACCTCGTGTATTCGGGGTCTACGGGGAATTTTGCCCGAGTCTAAGCGATCAGATTCCCCCCACATAAAAAATCGACCTTGTGCCACATTCGGAATTGCCCCACATAATATTATAATCGTTAGGAGTTAGTTATAACAGTCATTGATCGTCAACATGACACAGGGCTAACTATTCAAGACCACTTGATTCAAATTAACTTTTAACCCACCAAATTCTAATTCTAATTCTATTGGAACTTCTTGGTAACTATTACATATTTGCGATGGATAATAGAATAATCAAGAACCTATAATGACAAAAAGCATCCTGCATACGGATAGAAAAATATTAAGTGAGTGTAAGACAAGGATATGTTTCTCAGCGGACTTATTCAACCTATACAGCGAGGCGATTCTGGGAGATTTAGACGACCCACCAGGATTCATTATTGGTAGTCACACTCCTGACAACATAAGGTATGCAGATAACTCAGACAGCAAGCAAGAAAAAAGAAAACTACGAAAACTCCTAAAGAAGGTTTGTGAATGAAAGCGAGAAGAAGGGACTAAACATAAATTGCAAAAAAGATAGAATGCATGGGGTTGTTAACAAAAGAATGGGTCCCAAATGCAAATTTGAAATCTGAGATACCAAAATCAAACAAGTAGAAAAAATTGAAATATTTGGAAAGTGTTTTAACAGAGGAAAGAAAGTGCGACACTAAAATCGCGAGGGGGCATTTGGATAGCGAAAGATGCCTTTCAAAAGCTAAACAAAGTGTTAAGAAAGAGAAAAATTTCATTAGAAACAAAGAAAACTCTACTGATCTGTTATGTAATATCATTTCAACTATATGGCAGTAATTGCTGGGCAATCTTTTCACACATAAGACGGAAATGTCATTCTACAGAAGGATGCTGAAAATATCATGGTCCGAACATGTGAGCAATGAACATTAGAGAAAATGGAAGCAAAAAAGGCGCTTATAATTAACACCAGAAAGAGACAGTTTCTAGGGCACATAATGAGGAGAGAGAGACAGAGACAGAGACAGAGAGAGAGAGAGTTTGGGAAATCTGACACTCATAGGTCATATTGAAGGCAAGAGGGACAGAGAAAAGCAACCTGCCTAATAAACTTGTGTAAATTGGAAGAACAGAGATTAAGAGAAATTGCAAAACGATAAACTTTATTAAGGGTCACAAAACACAGGAAATTAAGGAGAGCCATTAACACCCATGTCATGAAGAGACATGGCGCATAGAAGAACAAGTTTTAGAACGTATTATCATTTTTTTTTTTACCTTATCTGTAATCTTCACCTCTTCTTTGTCGTTCGTAAAGATTTTTTATTCCTTTTATTTTCTCTTTCGTTCTCTTCTGTTGTTTTTTTTCTTTTTTCTTTTTTCTTTGGGTCTATTTTTTTTTTACTCAGAATCAACTCCCCACCCCCACTCTGCATATAAGTGCCTAACTCCGTTTGGTTTTCTCACCATTTTTTTTTCTCTTTTGTTCTCTTCGCTCGTTTTTTTTTTTTTTTCCTACGTTTCTTTCTTCATTTTGAATTTTGAGAACGAACAAGGACGAAGCAAAGATTCTGCCAACTTACTGTCTTGGTAATTTACTTCGGATATTGAGAGCGTTCTTTCTCCTGTTTTTCCGCTTCCTCTGCCGGCACTGTTTTTATCAAGTTCTCCGACAGTGGAAGGAATTTTGCTTCAGTATACGACCTAAAAGAAAGAAAAAAATAAAAAAATAAAAAAACATTCAGGTTTATATGCACATATTCTTCCACTTTCTCCCACCCGGCTGAAAACAATTCAAGATTTTAAGAATAGTGCAGATATATTTTGGCGAACTTTCAAACCTTTCTTATTTGGAATTTTCATTTTCTCGGCTCTTTTACAGATATATCTACGAGAAAATCGCTATGAAAATAATGAATCCTAGTCGAAAATATGATCGATGTAAGTCTCTTCGAATCTTTCTATCTAAGCTACTTATACGGAGGGGCTGCTAAAAAAAAAAAAAGCATCTCGGCCTAACCAAGATATTTAAAAAAATTCTGAAGCTTGATCAGATTTTGGGAATATGTTAAGAATCATTTCAACATCCCCTGGTTTTCCGATATTTTTTCCTCACTGTTATTAGTCTGAATAATATTTTGATCATTTCACCGTCAAGTAAGGGAGAAAATCCACTAAGATGCAGGCGGTTATAGAGTGTGAAAGAATAAAAGAAAAAAAAAATGTTAAGGAGAGAGGAACAACAATTAAGAAAACAGAAGATAGCGATTGACATTACATTTAAATATTTGAAGATGGGAAGCAAGAAACCAAAATACGAGAAGAAACTATTAGCATAGAAATTACGGTTACATTTTGTCGTTTCAACTCTAAAATGTTGAGCCCTTGCTGCTAATCTAGTACTGTGATTAAGTTCATCATGTCTAGATACGATAGAGGAAAGTAATATATATTTTGTTATAATAAAAATGTGTCACAACGCCAAAAAAGGGAAGAGGACGAAGGCTGGTCTTCAGTGTGTCTTATCTTAAAGTTAGCTATCCACAATTACATACCACTGTATTCCTTACACCAAAACAACACATTCTTTTACTATTCTTACTACAGCCACCATAATACTTCAGATCTCTATAAATCCTAACTAGTTCCCATATGTACAATTTGTACATATTGGATATCTATCTACCTATCTAGCTAGCTAGCTAGCTAGATAATGAAGAGTCTGAGATAGATAGATAGATAGATAGATAGATAGATAGATAGATAGATAGATAATGAAGAGTCTGAGATAGATAATGAAGAGTCTGAGATAGATAATGAAGAGTCTGAGATAGATAGATAGATAGATAGATAATGAAGATTCTGAGAAAGAGAGATAGAAAGATAGATAGATAATGAAGAGTCTGAGAGAGAGAGAGATAGATAGATAGATAATGAAGAATCTGAGATAGATAGATAGATAGATAGATAGATAGATAGATAGATAATGAAGAGTCAGAGAGAGAGATAGATAATGAAGAGTCTGTGAGAGATAGATAGATAGATAATGAAGAGTCTGAGAGAGTGAGAGAGAGATAATGAAGAGTCTGAGATAAAAAGATAATGAAGAGTCTGAGATAGATAATGAAGAATCTGAGATAAATAGATAGATAGATAGATAATGAAGAGTCTGAGAGATAGATAGATAGATAGATAGATAGATAGATAGATAGATTATGAAGAGTCTGAAATAGATAGATAGATAGATAGATAGATAGATAGATAATGAATAGTTTGAGATAGATAGATTATGAAGAGTCTGAAATAGATAGATAGATAGATAGATAGATAATGAATAGTTTGAGATAGATAGATTATGAAGAATCTGAAAGAGATAGATAGATAGATAGATAGATAGATAGATAGATAGATTGCGTGAGTGTGAGAGGAAGAAAGAACAAACAGGAAACAATACAAAGGAGGTATTTATTAAGCGGAGCTGTTCAGTGTATTCAGTTTATTAGATAGTTTCATAATTCTCACTGGCGTCTAATATTAAAACCCCGATAAAATCTAGTATTGTTGTACAAAGTTAAGATTTGTGAATTAAGTTCGAGTTCTTAAGGTAATAAATTAATGGGGATCAGTATCCAAAAAGAAAACGCTGGTTGTCTTTGAATAAATATATCAGGTTTTCACACATGAAATGACGCATTTTTTTTGGTTGGTTGTTCATCCGGTCGCTTAACGAAATCCCCCCTCCCTTCGTAAATAAAACAAATAACTTATTCTGGGTCTTTTTCTTTCCAGATAATTTTGATTTATATATTACTGATAAGCTCAATGAAACAATATCAAGTAACCTCACTGTATAAGTACAATATGGCTTCTGAAGCATTTCGGAATATCAAGGTGGTCTTTAGTTGTAGTATTGTTGAAATCAGAAATGTACAGAGATGGTTTCACAGGTTTTGTTCGCGAGATTATAGTCTTGAAATTAAACTAAGGTGGAGGCCAGTTGAAAGTATTTGGCAAAATAAAAAAACTGGATAAGTTGGTTCCGCATGAACTGAATGAGAATCAAAAGACCATCGCTTTGAGGTGGGCTCTCTCTTGCTTTCCCGACTGGAAAAAAGAGGCATTTTTGCATCGAATCATTACATGCAATGAGAAATGGATACTCTTGGACAACAGTAAGAGAGTAGGCCAGTGGTTAGATGCAAGTAAATAACCACAACAATACCCAAAATATCCACTGCACCCTAAAAAGTTAATAATTACTGTATGGTGGCCTTTCAAAGGGGTAATTTATTATTCATTCATGTCTCAAGGGAAAACAATAACAGTAACCTCGTACTTTGGAGAAATTGAGTGTATTCATGAAAAATTGAAAAAGAAACATCTTAGACTTGTGAATTTGGATGGCTCAATTTTGCTGCTGCACAAAGGCGCACGACAGCATGCTTCTCAGTCCGCTCTCCAAAAACTGAGGAGCCCGAATTATACCACATCCTCCATTTTCCCCTTATATCTCTCCTATTGAATATCAAGTATTTAAGTGTATTGAGCATTTCATACGCAATAAAACATTTTTCAATAAAGAAGAGATAACTCAAGAATTTGAATTGTTTTTTACACCAAAGGATGAGAATTTATTTAAAGATGGGATCAAGAATTTACAAGTACAGCGGAGAACTGTAATTCATCAACATGGTGCCTTTTTCAACTAAATGAAATTATTTATTTAACATTTCAGAAGCGTTTTCGTCATTTCCTTTAAAGTGAGTTATTTCATGTGTGACAACCTAATAAGTAGATTATTTTTTTTCTATAGCCATGATTTGTCGTGCGAATAATAGCGGAGTATTTTCCCGTTATGTTCTCCACGGTGATTTTATTGAGGCACCACTGTAGTTAACTGGTCATTTCCGGTTGCAGTGTCTATTGTACCAACTGCTTTATTTTTTGTCGTCCGTATTTTGTGATTTTAAGGCTTACACTACTAAGGAGTTGACCGTAGTCGGGATCATCGTGTCAATATGAATGATCCTTTCCTTAGATGCATAATATGTGCTTCGCCAGGGCTACATACAGTTTTTACGTCAGAGTTTTCATTCTCTGAAGGCAATAGAACCAAGTCTATCCTACAATTTAGGCATAGCTGGTGCGTGGTGGAGAAGTGTTGGATTCATACTATTCCCAACGGTATTAGCGCGGAAATTAATGTGATAGGCTCAACTGGAATTCGAACTCAGATCTCTACATTTCTTTATGTCTCAGTCCTGGGCTTTCATATTTTCTTTTTATTTCCTTCTGCATATATGATTCTGTATCAGCCGATTTTGAAGTCCTTGTTATTTATCCAGTTTGTTAGACATACCTCTATAATATTTACGTGTTTTTCTTTTCATTTCCAAGTTGACATTTTCCTACATTGATACAATAACCACAAATTCCAAATTCAAATTACGCTTTTGTTTTTGTTACGAATCGTCGCAGTTGATTCCCTCTGCGCATATCTTTCCTTACTGCCATTTTCTGTTTATTTTTATTTTTCTATTTGTATTTGTACAGCCATGATCTCTCTTGGAAAGAATAATTTCCCGTTGCCTTCTCCACTGTGATTTTATTGAATCACCACCCCTAGTTAGCTGGCCGTTGATTTACTCGAGTTATTTCACTTTCTGATATATCTTATTGTTCATTTTACAGTGTTGCTAAACACCTTCTTCGCACCCTACAAAGAGGAATGAGGGAGCCTGTTTAGTCGCCAAGAACCCGATAAATAATCATTTGATCTTAACATTTTTCTTAACTTAATTTTTAAGGACAAAATTCTTCCTTAAAAAAAGACAATATCGAGAAGGAAGAAAAAAGCGAAACAGGAAATTGTGAAGAGCCATGATCACCCACGTCCTAAATGGACAGGAGGCATAAAAGAAAAAGAATATTCGTTTGGACAGTGCAAAAATTCAATGTACATTTTCCACTGTACAGGGAAATAGAGAGAGAGAGAGAGAGAGAGAGAGAGAGAGAGAGAGAGATAGAGAGAGAGCACGCGCGCGTGCGTGCATGTGTGAGAAACAGAAAAAGTGTGTGTGCGTGTGTGAAAGAGAGAGAAAGCGAGTGCGTGTGTGTTTGTGTGTGAGAGAGAGAAATAGAAAGAGAGGGTGCATTTGTGTGTGAGAGAGAAAAAGAGAGAATGTGTGTATGAGAAAGAAATTGTGCGTGTATGTGAGAGTGAGTGTGTTTGTGTGTGTGAGAGAGAGCGCTTGTGTGAAAAAATGAAAGTGTGTGTGAGAGTGTGTGAGAGATAGATAGAAAGAGATAGTGTGTGTGTGTGCGAGAGAGACATATAGAGCGTGTGTGAGAGAGAGAGTGTGTGCGTGTATAAGTGTGTATTTTTGTGTGTGAGAGAGTGTGTGTGAGTAAGAGAGAGAGAGTGTATATGCGTGTATATGTGTGAGAGAGGGTGTTCATTTGTGTGTGTGTGTGTGAGAGAGAGGGTGTGCATTTGTGAGAGTGTGTGTGTGAGAGAGAGAGAGAATAAAAGAGATTAAAAAACGAACAAAAATTAAGGCCTGAGGAATTTGATTAATTGATTATTTCTTTAGTGCATATCAGTCCTTTGCAGAGTGTGTGCGAGATTATTATTTTTGATATTTTTGGAGATGAGAATGATTTACTGACACACGTCCAACTAATTAACCCATAGTTTGGGGAGAGAAGATCCATACCTTTCGCAAGTGAATATAACGTACACGACTGGAATCGTAACTCGACTCTCCTATTTCAAATTCCGACCCGTTATCCATTATACTTCACACACATCCAATCTTACAGCACCTGGTATTCCCAAGCGCATATCTTTCCTTACTGAACGAGGAGTCAGTCCCAAGTGTGATGACCTCCTTCATGCCATTTTCTGTTTATTTTTATTTTTCTATTTATATTTGTACAGCAATGATCTCTCTTGGAAAGAATAATTTCCCGTTGCCTTCTCCACTGTGATTTTATTGAATCACCACCCCTAGTTAGCTGGCCGTTGATTTATTCGAGTTATTCCACTCTTTGATATATATTATTGTTCATTTTACAGTGTTGCTAAACACCTTCTTCGCACCCTACGAAGAGGAATGAGGGAGCCTGTTTAGTCGCCAAGAACCCGATAAATAATCGTACACGACTGGAATCTAAGTACTGACCAGGCCCGATGTTGCTTAACTTCGGTGATCGAACGCGAACCAGTTTATTTTTTTAACGTCATATGGCCGTAAGCACCAGACACCAAAGAATAATGAATGCAAGTGAATAAAACGAACCCAACTGGACTTCTTCTTTTAGAGTAAGGTTCACCCTGTACAAGGCCCAGGAGCCACTTGAGATAGCGGGCTACGTTAAGAGGTAAGTTTTATGGATAGGAAAGGAAGAAAACTGTTAACTCTATACTTGACCAGGTTAAGATTGTAACGACCGGGGAAACATCCTCTTTGGTGTCTGTTCCATAGGGCATTGGTTTGCAGGAAGACGCTGTTTAAATGAAACTTATTGTTGAAACTTGACTAATGCATGGAATAATAATGCAGCACAAAATGTACTTAGAACAAAATGTATAGAAACAAGAAAGTGTACACAATATTCACATATAGTCTTTTGTATATTCCTGGTAAGACCGTTCCTGGAGAATGTGTTGACTGAGTCGCAGTCGGGCAGAGTCTCTGGTTGAATCTCTTGATTCCTTCCTCTCTTCCCGGTACCAACCATATTTATGTGGTCGGTACTCCACTATGCAAATTAGGTGGATCCTACCACAACACTTATTTAAGTAAGTATTTATGTAAGTGGCATGGCGGTTCCTAGCCAAGCACATTCCATGGAGATAGCTATAGAGCAGGGAGATGCTCAACACATCCTGCCTGTGAGAGAACGATTGGTGGACGGAAATAATTCTTCTCCAACAAGTACTCAGAAACGCTTTTGAACTCAAGAGTGGAAGGTGAGGACCGGGCAGCTCCCAATTGTGGCAACAGTATTCCATTTTCGGCCTGATATGGCTCTTATAAACGGAGGCGATAGCATGAGGAGTCAGGTGTTTACTGGAGCAGTACGGGGAACCGATCATTTTACCTGCATCTTTAGCGATGGTTTGTATATAAGAGTTGCACTTGAGGTCGGATGTGAGTTTGAGGCCCAATATTCGCTCAAACTACATTGTCTCCTTGAGGGGACATCTGTTCACTGGAATTCCTAACTGTTCTCCAGATGTACATTCAGGTTTACAGCACCCGGTATTCCTAAGCAGTTGCACATCTTCGCTCGACGTTGTTTAAGTTCGGTGGTTCAACGTGATATCGTGGTAAGACTTAAAGCCTTAAGCAATATGATCTACACACAATTAAGTGCGGGAACGAATATTAGGTTTGTTTTTTCACACCAGGTATCTTGTTATTTTTTTGTTGATTTTTTTTTCTTAAACATTTTCAATTTCAAATCCTAAATAGTAAAGAAATCTCAAAGGGCCCTACACCATGCAAGCTGTTGCTCTAATAAACTAATTATACTTGGTTGTATCTTTCCTAGCTTATAAGTACGTAGGGCTGCAACCGAAGACTCGAATCGATCGCTTATTGTTTATTCTCGGCATTTTGTTTTCCGGTGGTTGATTCAGATTATTGATGTTATGTAGAAGAAACGAAAGGACAGTGCTGAGATAAATGACATTGAAGTCGATACGCGAGCAGTTTACACAAACGAGGATACTGCAAAGATTTAAGACGAAGAAAGTGCATAGAAATCGAGGCTGTGTTTATTGAACTTGATAATCATCCAGGTTTTACAAAAGAACCCATTCCTCACATCTGATCTTTTCCCAAAAGGATCTGCCCAAATCCCATACTTTCAACATAGATTATTGCTGCTCTCACGAATTTTTTTTTATTTAATTCGGAACCTAAATATTTTCTAGACTTAAGAGAATAACTTCAAATTAAGACAGACGCCTTGTTACGAATATTCTTCAAGTTTCATGTCTGTTATTCTGGACAATGTGCTATGCGGGAATAACAGTAGACAATTTCTTTGACTTATTTTATTTGTATTGTTATTTTTACTGTTATTCACACAGTATCCCAAACAGGGATACTTTAAGAAACGTATAGAGAGGCGCGAAACTGAGATCCCAAGACGGATTTTGATCGCCATGGATGCAGACTACTGCGAGACATGGGGGATTTCTTTGGTAACAAAGAAAAGAGTACTGAGCTGCTACGTGGCATCTGTCCTCCTATAAGGCAACGAATGTTGGACGGTCTCCTCAAAGATGAAGAAGAAACTCGTGACAGCGAGGATGTACGTCTACAGAAGGATGCTAAGGATATCATGGAACGAGCGAGCGTGTGTGCAACGATGAGGTCTTGGAAAGGATGAAGCTTATACTTAACATAAGGAAGAGGCAGATGATATTTCTGCGACACGTAATGAGAAAAGAGGGCTTGGAGAATCGAGGCTATGTTTACTGAACTTGATAATTACCCAGTTTTTACAAAAGAACCCATTCCTCACATCTGATCTTTTCATGAAAGGGTCTGCCCAAATCTCATACTTTCAACATAGGTTATTGCTGCTCTCACGAAATTTTCTCATAGGTCGAACAGAGGGAAAGTAACGCATGATATACCTGGAGGGATTAAGCAAGTGGATGGCAGAAGGTGACCTGGAGGAGTTGGCAGATGCACGAATTTTATTGACAACCACAAGGAACAGGAGGAAGTGGAGAGCCGTGATTGCCTATGTCCTGAAAGGAAGAATAGAAAGGGAGCAATTATTGCATGCTATGAGGATATATAGGACATATAACAGTTGACTCACGACTTAAAGAGGTTAAGAATGTACTGATTAAGAAAGCGCCCCGTTGGGAGTCCGTTTCACCTTGCATCAGGGGAAGAGGCTGTCTCAATGGAACTTACTCCTTACTAGTGGAATACGAAGGGAATGAATTGTCTGGTTGTCCCTATCTGTAAAGGTCTGAACTGCTGGCATCAAGGAATGTAGTTCATCCGAACATCAGTCAATAACGGTTTAGCAGTGAGAGGCTACCAACGTTCCGTCTGTGGGGAAAGAGGTTGGGGGGAGGGAAACAATTCATCAGCCCTAAAACGATGCAGACACTTTTGATCTCAGTCGACACTGGAAACAGAGAATTAGGCAGCTAAGGTCCAGACGTGGCAGCACTCGTTTAATATTGGTCTGATCTGGAGATAAAACATGAGTCAGGTAATTTTCTCAGCGGTACAGGTAGCCAGCCATTTTACCAGCGTCTTCAGCGATGAATCGTATATACTAGTTACCTCCACTAAGGTTTAAAATGAATTTTTTAAAAGCTTTCTTTTTAATTGAAAGCTAAAGGATTAAATTTAATACTTCCAGTAATTAAAATACTGTGGTGTATTTCAAAAGGAAATTATATTGATTGGAATCGATTATTTTTCTAAAATAGCTAATTAATGCCCTTTTAACGCAATGTAATTCTCTGTATTAAAAAATATTCCAAAAATAAATTATACATTTCTGAAACTTTATTTGAGGAATATTAGTTGATTTGAAGTATAATTAAGCTGATTTGAAAAAAAAAATATTTGCTTTAAGTTTAAAATAACACAAAAAACGTATTTTAAAAACAAAACAGTAACTCTGATTTTATGGTTTGTAGAGGTCGAATATTACACGCCACTTAATCCATCATATATTTACTAGTGATCTAAGAACGTTCTGTAGATGGTTGATTTTGGGTGTCTCAAAAGAATTGACATAATTTAAAACATGAATATCTTAGTAACTATTTATCCCCAAGCAAACGAAATTAAAATAGGCTTGAACAATAAAAGATTTATTTTTAAAACTTGAACAAAATATTCATAGAGATGTGGATTTTATAACCGATTTCACAAAGTTTCGCAAATGTTCAATATGGGCACCACCTGTGACACGACACACGTCAAGTCCATCCCCTGCCAAATATGATGTAGCATGTCTTACGTAACATCCTCCAGTGTCATAGTAAGTTCCTCTAGGCTTG